GTTAAAACTAGTCAATACCAGCCTTAGTCTGGTTGCTGAAATGGTCCGAACTAAAGTAAAATTGGAACCAGAGACAAATAATAACATAGGTAGAATAGATAATGATAATAATAATGATACCCTATTATCGTTATACCAAAGGAAAACGTTAAGAAAAGTGAGATGTAAAAGTTTACTAATAGTAATAATAATGGACCATAGAATATTACATAACCATATCTTCGTTATAAGCATATCTTGATAATAAGAAAAACAAATAAAACTGTAAGAATCATACTATACCATTTAGACAAAGTAAAAATAATTGTAATAATTATACCTTCAGACAGTATAATATTGGAAAGCACAATAAATGTTACCAAAGAACATGGAGTTGATTTCTGTATTTAAAATTACCCCAAAAAGCTGTACTGCTTGATAAGTTAAGAAAACTTCTAAATAAGTAAAATTGTTCATCTACATTCCCATAAGTGTTTTTTCCGGGATGAGAATGCTATTCCAGAAATCTGAGAAAGCGAAGGAAATAAATAATAACAATAGCTAGGTATAATTAATAAGCTCTTAAAATTCAAGGGCAAATTCCATGGAATATTTATGATGAAGTTTAAAAAACGTGTCAAATTTCTTCTGAAAACACATCTTTCATCAGGTAATATTGTAAAGGCTATATGTAAGTAGATTATTCCTGTGTTATTATTCATGTTTGGAGTGATGAAATGGACAGAAACTAGCTTGCAATCGTTGGATTGTAGACTCAGAGTGATGAAAACAAAGGCATTCTAAATCTTCACTTTCTAGACTATACCTCCCAAGAAAACAAGGTGGAAGAGGACTTATTAGCCTTTTCAAAAGTTGTCAAGAACAGGAGAGGCAGTTAAGAAATTATATTGTGAATCACAATTAATGATTACTATTAAGATAAACTAAAACCTAACTGCATTAAATCTTGCATCTGAGCCTATTCAGTAGCCAATCAGGAACTGATGAGAAATTGAAGCAGAAATCAGCTTCACAGTAGGTTTTATCAGAATAAGTATTGGTCATTCTGCTTCGGATGAATGGCTTAAAAAGAAAAACTGTTTCTCCAAAAAAGATTTTCTTCTTGCTCAACAGGACCAAGTAGTGGCAACTAACTCGTGCATATTTAAACAAGATGTTAGTGACAAATACCGACTTTACAAAGGAACAATTGATTCCATTCAGCAAATAACAAGTTGCACAATATTAGCAGGAAAAGAATACTTTGAAAGGCTTAATAATTTTGTTTGTAAAAATAATCCAAAGTATGGCCAAATGTTGTAAAATTCTAGCAGTCTATCCTTTCTGATAAAGAAACAATTATTTATTTGAATCAACCTATAATACCACACCGTACAGTGCCAAACAAAAAATCAGATGTTATGGTTAAACAAAAAAAGGAAAAGACGGCTACAATAATTTAGATGAGAGTTCCCAAAGATGACTATTCAAAAAGTGGTTGGAAAGAAGATAAGAAAATACTAAAAGCTCTGTGAGAAACTGAAACAACTCTATAGTCAAAAACAAGGAAAGGTGTTGCACTTCATCATTTCTAATACCCTCACCTTAAAGTTAAAGAATTCAAGTTCAGAATCTTTACTATAAAAATTAAATTATTAATTTATATCGTAACATTCATTTACCTATAAACAAAGCGTAGCTCACTACAACATAAATACTTTGTTATAACATTGTTTATACGGAATAATGAACAATTAAATAAGTGTGAATAATTGAGAAACCATGATATGATATGATAAAATTATATTTGAAATTCTTTAATTTTTTAACTGAGGAAAATGTTTTAAACCTACTTCAATTTCATAGTTTAATTAATTGAGTTGCAGACTTCCAAAATACACAAAGTTCATTTTCCAATTACTTTTTTCTATAGTATCCATATAATTTGGTTTAATGTCATATCTTTTCCAGATTAGAATATTAGTGGATCTTAGAATACATTTTTCACTTCTTCCTTTGAATACCAAGCTTGGATGTGACAAAAGGAGTGAGGTGAGCGAGCAGGGGTGGCCAGAAGGGGGTTTTGGGGGTTGAGGAGAGCACGTTTCAATGAATTTTCAAAATGAATAGTTTGAAATTAAAAGACAAGTGGAAGCATGGAACAGGCCACAGTATATGTAATTGTATATAATCTACAAATATTTAAATTCTACTTTCGTTTGCACTGTTTTTAAGAAGAAGGGAGGAATAAAATATCATGAGAGAGGTGGAAGAAGGTTTATGCGCAACAATAAAAAATAGTTACGCAACAATAAACAAAAAAGCAATATAGGTCAGTTAATTTATGTTAAATGTCACATATTTAAATATTTATAAGCAATAATATTAAACTGAATTTTTTTAACAAAAACTATATTAATTCACAAAATATTTTGCATTGAATTTCCAAAATCTGAGTAATTTAATTTTAATACAAAACAAGGTCTTCAGTCCAATATATTTCTGTCTTCCAGAATTCTGCTAACTACAAGAGATAATATAAATGTAATTCTATCATTACGTATTTCGTTTACTAATCAAGTATCTCTAGCAAACATTGAAGGCGATTCAATGAGTTAAAGGAAAAATTTTAAGACAATGTCATATCTACATACAATAATTTCTTGTAAATACTTATTAATCTATCTTTTTAAAAATATAAAACTATATTTTTGGAAATTTTATGAATTTCCAAAAACATACATGAAATATATTGCACAAATAACAATATAACAGAAATAGAAAATAATTAGACAAATATATAATATAAAAAAATAATATATTGTTAGTTCATTGCAAAAAGTCATCAAGTACATTTATAACTGAACTGAACATGAAAGTACTATTTAAAGTTCTAATGGATCAATTTCAATCCAATTATCATTGAAAAGACTCTTGAAATTGATCAAAATAACATAATCCCTTTTATAATTAAAAAATAGTTACATTAAAGTTTTAATTTTACAATGCGAAAATTCATCTAATAATTATGTGATTTAGTTTTCTAAAATAATACTGAATGCCGTTTGCAATAAACTACCAGAAAATCAAATATTTCCATAAAAGAAACAATTCCTTACCACTAAGATTTTAATATTAGTATATTTAGTAAAATTAAGCATTAAATTTTACACTGTAATTAGGAGAAGTGCAGTGGACAAGCTTTTAAAAAAAATGGTGGCTTGCAACTGAAATTACCTCCAAATTTTAAAAACACCTACTGCTTCCACAATTTATTCATCTCTAATTTAATTGATTATAACTATTGATGCAAGCATTGAAACAGTATAAATTATTTTAAAATTAGTTTCACTTTAAAAAAGATTAGTATTTCTGATTATTTGAAGAGAAAATAAATTAAGTACCTTTGAATTGTGAAATTGCAGGGAGAAAGAAATTGAGTACCAACCTTTGAAAACTGAATTTTTAACAGATAATTTATATTTCAACACACATTTTAATCAATAAAATATGTATTCATAATATATATATATATATATATATATATATATATATATATATATATAATATATATATATATATATATATATATTATATATATATACATTTAATGAATTGATAAGAAAATGTATATTAATGTTTACTTTTCATATTTCATTACAATATTTCAAAATTATCAGTATTATTACGGATTCTACTAAATTAATTGTTATCCCATAAAATACATAATAATTTGCTGGAATTAAATTCATTTGCAATTATATAAGATTAAAAAAAGTATTATAATTATTATTTTTACTTTATTTTCCAAAGTGAAGTAAATGCAGTTCTTAAATGTCAGGAATCTGATCAGGAACCTTTTTGGTATTGAAAAGCAGGCTGAACATTATAGGTTGGTTAAATAGTTGGAAATCAGTCACAATATTTTATTTATTTTTTTATATTGTATAGCTAAGTTTTGACCAAAGTTATAATGAATGCTGGTATATCTGCACGATTTTTCTTCTTCTTTAATTTTTAAGTATTGACACGTATTTTTGAAAATCAAATCGTTCACGTATGTTGGAAACCTTACTTGTCTTGTTTTTTAATTCATTTATCCTAATTTGTTTTCATATTAAAAACTCCCACATTTAAAAAACTGGCACTATGTGGAAATATCCAACTTCAGAAATATTTAATATTGATTCAAAATTGACATTTCAGTTTCATATCTCACTATTCTAGGAATAATTCTTAAATTACGAAAGGAAGTCATCATGGAATAAACTAAGGCATATCTAAACACAATCAGTGGAGTTGGTTATTGGATTAGGCACTTCCTTGAATACCTACGTTGAACCATAACTAGGATTAATTGAATAAAATAGAAACTACTTTGGGCAACTAAATTTTGTTTCTCCTTCTTTTACCCCTCCCACTAGCGGATCCAGGATTTAATTTTTTTTGGGGGTGGGGGAGAGAGGGCTTCAGCCCGAAACCTTTTTTTTTTTATAAAAATAACGATAATTACTTTGGAAAAACAGAAAGAAACTGACTACCTATATGAAATGGTGTTTAAGTGATTCCTTAAGTCCTTTTAAATGTAATTACACGAACAATAATACTTTAAGAGATAGTTTTTAATATTTTTTTCTATAGAACATGGTTATATTTTACGGTTTTTGGGGGGACTTCAGCCCGAATTTTGTCAACCAATTATGCCTTCTATTCACCAATAGATAGGATTCAGCGAAATGCTGATATATTTACGCACTTCACTCTAGAGAACAGGCAAGATGAGTATATGTTTTTTTCTAACAATCAGATTCATATACAATACCTAGAGATTTCTAAAAAAGATAGTTTTGGTTTTAATTTTTAAATAAAAATATTAAAAGACTGTATGGACGACATCGATAGTCGTTAATACAGAAGTAGATGCCATCGATGGAAAAATATCGAATATTGGATGAAAAGTATCGATACTAGGGTATTAACGACTATCGATGGCCATCCTTAATCCCCATCTGTACTGGTTATATAGAAATGAGGTTGTGTTCCTGACCTTCCCAAAATAATGCAATTATTTGAAATTAAGACTCAATTTGTGTCTTTTATTCATAGATGACATATGAGTTCATTCATAAAATATGGAAGAACTCAGCCCATGGATGGATTTGGCTGAGCTACCAGCAGATCCTCCAGAAATGAGACAAGTCTGTGCTGAATGTGGGTAAGTTCATGCTTCTCTTATAAAATTTAAAAAGATTTCATGCTACTATGAACTTTAGTTGGTAAAATTTAAAAAAAAAATACACTTTCACCTAAAAAAATATTTATAATTTGTTCTTCTGAAAACCTTACATGGAAAGAGACTTTTTATTTGTCACATTGTGTGCGTGTTCGTGATTACATGTGATTAATATAAATTACCAATACATGGAAAACTTAAAAGGTGCTCCTTCACAAGTATCATTACATCATTACACATGATCACACTGCTGATGCTATTATGAAAATGGCCAAGTGTTTAAGAAAGTTGACGGAGATCATCAACCTTTGGAAAACGATCTTTACTATATAGGGACCTTTGGTGGTTTGTTTCTTTGTTCGTTGAAGTAAAAAAGCGGGATTAATTAAGGCCCCAATCTCAACTGAACAGGATTAGGGCTTTGTGTATCTCTTTTGACAACTGGAAATCACTGTTCACAATGTTCTAACTCGGATTAGGTATTCTTACATAACTAAGTAGAACTTATTTTTTGTTAATCTGTATGTTTGTTTAATTTTTAAATGACTTTACTGATTGACATGTAAAACAGGATCACAATGATCCTCCTTAATTTTTTCTACAATATATAATTGAAGAGTATGTTGGAAATGTGATAAATATAAAGTTTTGAATGAAGAATTTATGCAATTTATTTTGCCCATCATTACTTACAAACATTATTATGCCTGATGATGTATTTGTATGTTATTGGATAAATATGTCACACAAAAAAGTAAGAATATTTTACAAGGAACTTATGTCTATAAAACCTTCTATCTCAACTCTAACTCTAACTTTCAAATTTCAACTCATTTTTGGATACACATTTTTTTTTTAATTCTATTTATTTAGCTACTACCCTTATGAATAAATCAATTTTTTAATTTCCTGTTAAATAGAACTGCTTACAATTTATTATCAACTGATTTTAATTTTTTTAATTTTAGCAGGCCAAGTGTTGTATGTTGGTGCAGTAGCTTGCCTGAAGTTCCCCTAAAAATAAAGTCAAGAGTGATTATCCTTCAACATCCTGCTGAAGAAAAACGATGTTTAAGAACTGCACCTATGCTTCAGAGGGGACTTGCTGAAGGAAAATGCTTAGTATTCAGAGGAAAAAAGTTTCCTCAGAATAAGTAAGTCATTACCCAAGCTCTATTGTTTGTTTAGAGATATACCATGTTGATGAGATGTTAAGTTTCACCATTTTCATCGATTATTGATTTATTATTATTTCTCATCTTTATCCACTCATTATACCTTATGCTACGAAGGCACTCCCTATCAATTTCCTTAACACTTCTTCATTTGAACCCAACTCCTTAACCTCTCTAATTGGGTGCTATTTGTATCTTACCAGTTCTGATATAAGATCCTCATACTTGGTTTTCTAAGTTTTCCCAAGACCATTGCAAAAGAAGGAGATTACCTCTGACTATAAAAATAATAGTATAATAAAGATAGTTAACATGCCACCAACCAATATAGAAGAAACAAATTTTTTGAACAATTCCTCTAGTAGTTTGATTTCCTGGTTTTCATTTATTCATTCTTTCTAAGAGCTTCATGATTTCCTATTTTTCTTTCTGCTATAATAAAATAATTAAAGATTTGTAGAATATCCTTTATATATAAGTTAAATCAGTTAAAATTAAAATTAAACCTCTCTCAGATCAGATGAAATCTGACATCCCTTTTGACATCATGTGCTTGGGTGCCGACTGAACACATTTCACCACCATCATGGCATCTATGAATTATAGTGCTTTATTTATTTGCCTCACCATTTTTTTTTTTTTTTTTTTAAGGCATGAAGGACTAGCAGATATTTTGAGAATGTCAAATACGATACTTTTGTACCCATCAAAAGATGCTGTTGATTTGGAAACTGTGCCAAAAGTTGATTCTGAAGAAAATGGCTACAATATTGTTATTATAGATGGAACTTGGCCACAAGCAAAGGGCATTTATAATAATGCTCCTATTCTGCATGGTATAAAGCAGGTAATAACAAACTATTTATTGTTTTCTTTGAAAGTCTTTAAGGTTTCTCGGTAAATGTTTTTACAAACCACTTAATCAACTTGACAGTTCATCATAACTGAAATAAAATTTGAGTGTAAATACTTTTTGAACAAGATGCAATCTAATATTGGAACTAGTCTTGGTTTTCTTTAAGTTAAGATGTATGCTCACAAATTATAGGTGAATGGTAATTGAATTGGAAATAAAATGTTGTATTGATAAGTAACAATGGAACCCCTATTAGATGCTGAACTGACTCATAAATGTTTCAGAGGTAAACTAAAGCATTGGTTTGAGGTTGCACTAGAGCTGATATTGAATTTCATAGGTATATAGTGATTAACACAGATGCATCAAGAGATAGAATGGGCGCGTGGTGATAAAAATAAAAAAGTGAAGCGTTTCTTTTCATATTACCTGGAACCTGCTTTCTTTTTTACGTAAGATGCCTTTTAGGAGGCTCTCTGACATTACCAAACCATCAAAAGATCAATTATTGCCCTGCAAATGTGCTGCTTAATAAAAAGTAATGATATTGTAAATTTAAAATGTTTATTAGGATACGAAATGTACTCCAAATTTTTTCATTTGGGCTCCATCCCATTGTAGGATTGAGGGAAATGAACAAGGAAATACCATAACAATATTCAAATAAAAATTTTTGATTATATGCCTGAAGAAGATTGGGTGAGGCTAGTGAAATCCCTAATATTGGTACAGGAAAATTAGGATGGTAGAAACAGCCATTCGAAATGAGTTAAAACAAATTATACAAAATGGGTGATTAGTATTAGGAAATCAAGAAGAAAGAAAATTATCTTGTGCTGCCTCTGAATTGACCATTGATAAATTTTCTTACCTGCTCCTATCATCTCAAACCACCAACCATGTTAGGAATATACAATGAACCATATATTTATCTGAACTAATTAGGAGTGCATAAAAGTCATCAGAAGATAATTTTTCACCATTAATACAAAATTGGTGTACAATATGTATTTGTGTAGCCGAACTTGCATTAAGTTGATACCAACATCAAATTCTTTATCAGGATAATGCTGTTGCTTTTAACTAAATGTGATTGTAAAGCAAAACCGAGATAATACGTCACTACTGATCATTTGTATTAGGGAGACCGGAAAGTAGTGTTATGATAATTGTCAACAGAAAAGGCATTATTCTGGAATACGAAAATGCAAGATTGCAATGCGTAAGACGGACCTTGAAAACGATTAATGAATTGGAGTGGGAGGTACATCCATCATATTGCCTGATGTTGCACCAGCGGGTTTCTTTTTGGTTGGATCATTTCAACACTTTCTAAGTGGCAAAAGATTTGCAAATTTGAATGATGTCCAAAATGCCATCGCTATATATTTTGCTCAAAAACCCATTGATTTTTATCGATCCTGCTTTAAAAATGTTCACACTAGATTGCAATGGCACATAAATGAAAGGTTATTGATAATAAAGGTGTCAGTAATGATTAAAAATAAAAGTGTAAAGTGGTCTAATGAATACTGTATATCAAAATAGTATTTTATTGTTTACGCCGACGTTTCGACCCACTTTGTTGGTCTTTATCAGGGCGTGGAATCGGGCACTGCAGGAAGCAGTTGGTAGACTGGAGTTCTCAGTAGTAACAGTAACAGAGTACTGTTAATTTCCACTGGTTTGTTGCTGTGTTAATCCTCAGAAGTTCTCAGGTCAAGATTTGATTCAATAAAAACAACTTTTTGATTTGTGAGTTAGTGACTTTTTAGTTTGAAACTTTAGTTCTGATAATAGCTCAAATGTTGAATTGTCACCTCTGTGAAGAAATGAATTTAATTTTTTTTATACCATCGGTAGAATCAGAGATTCAGTTAGGGTGTGTTCTACTGTGCTAAGGGAGTTTAAACATTATGTTGCCAAACTACTTCAGAAATACTGCAAGGTTCAGAAAAAGAAATAAAATTCTTAATAATAAGAATGTCGTTCAACAGAGTGTAAATAATCCATTAACTACCAAATTGAATATTTGGGTTTGATGCATACTTCATCTTTAATTTCTTTTTTTTTTTTTTACTAATGTACCATTATTGTTTAGTATTAAGAAATAGCTTACTTTCAATTTCACTGTTGTTATATATATCGCTGGTATTCGAGTAAAGCTTATTAAGTCCAGTTAATGAATTATTGATCAAATTACATCCAGTTAAGGCATTGAATGAATTATTTATATTTACAAGATTAAAATGTAGTGTTTTATAAAGGAAAAAATTAATCTTAAATTTTTTGAGATATTGGACTTAATGTGGTTATTTAATTATCAAAAGGATGAAACTCTCTGATAATCAAAGATCTAGGTTTTATTTAAGACTTATCGAAAACGGACCCAAGATTAATTAGTAAAGCTGGACCCGAACAATTAGTGTGTCATATATCATAACAACCGTTACTTTATACAAGAAATATATTTTTAGATAACAATACTAGTATTTTTAGATAACTAACTAGCAATAATTTTACAATTTTTGTGCAAAATAAATCAGTTTTTTTTTTTTTTTCAGGTGAAGCTGCTTGTAAAAAATAAAAGCGAGTATGTGATACGAAGTCAACCAACTGATGGTTGTTTGTCGACTCTGGAAACTGCAACAGAGGCACTTTCTGTACTTGAGTCTGTTGATTATAGGTCAACATTGCTTCAGCCTTTAAGAGCACTTTGCTGTTATCAATTGAATCATGGAGCTGTAATTCATGACAGCACTGATTTTAGGATAAAAACTAACACTTATCCTCGAAGATTAGGAAAAAGATTGAATAAATTTCTTAAGGAATTTAATTAGAAGTTAAGAATAATTGTCAACAATTGGCGAAAACGGTTTTCTATTTTGAAGATTTTTATGTTTTATTTTTTATCAACTATTTGATATTTTATCACCACATTTTTTCCTATTCTTATAGGTTTAAAGGAAAAAAATAACACATTTTTGCTAGTCATTTACTTTTAATCCAAGACCAATTTGGATGGTTATCAATTTTGTGATTTTTTTATATGATTATAGAAGATCAATTGTGCAAAACAAAACATTGATCATCTCAAATCATTTTTTTTTAAAATCAATTGAAGGTATTTTTGGTGGATCATTTCATATGAAATCACCAAATGCCTTAACCTGTATGTCTTATATTTACATGTTCTGTTGCCTGATAGTTGTACCAGCAAAGCATTAAATAACAAAGTATTACAAATCTTTTTACTTACACAGTTTTTTCTTAATATACCTTATTAAAAATGGAGCTAAATGAATTTCACCTTGTTTTATAATTAATAAATGCTAATAGATTTACAGCTGATGGTTGTGTAAAGTTTATCGTTTGAGCTTTCATTTGTTACGTGGCATGACAACTTTAAAAACAATAAATTTGTTTATACTTGTTTTCAGAACTATGAATTTTTTAAATCTTGAAAACACCCTCTTAATTTTTTTTTAATGTATGATCTTAGAATATATAATCAATCCTGATTCATGCCAAATTTCAATATAGAGAAACAATGGCATCACCAGGAAATAAAATCTATTTATTTACTAAGTGGTATAATTGATAAAATAACCCAAAATGAGTAACTTAATTTCCATTTTTAATTATTCCTATTCATCCAGTGTTCTTCAATAAAATATTTCGCCTTATAAATTCTAACATTACCTAACTAAATTTTTTACTAAAATGAGTTAGTTATCGACGTGCTTAAGTTTGTTCTTTCCCGATGGAATGGAAACAATGAATATATCAAATTTATGTTTTCAAGGTTGAGCTTCAATTATGCTAAAACTTATAAAGAGGAAGTCATTAGCAAATCATTTTCAATTCAAATCAACTTTGATATAATATCTCATGTAGATACATCTAATTACATAACTGAGGAGGGCAATAATATTTCTTGAGGGGGATGGGTACCCCTGGTTATCAATCCCTGTACCTATAAGTTAAATGATCAGATTGTATCCTATAAATATTTTTTGAGGGCTATATAATCCAAACTCAAGACTGTAGAAAAAACAAATCCCACAAGATTAAATTGCAAAACAAATTATAAAAAAGTTCAGTAACAAAACAGAAAGAAGAAAATCACCAGATCTATTAATTTTAAAATTCTATTTCATTTACCTAGGTAAGTATCAACAAACAATGAAAACACTTTTCAAATGGGAGAGAAACACGAGCTTAGGTGCTCAAAATTTTTTTTATCTAATGACGACCTTCATTTACTTTATCACACTAGATTTACTATCAAAATTTTATATTTGTACAAAAGCTAAGAGAGTAAATTATATATCTTCATGTTTTTATATTCGTGAAATCATATTGCTGGTTACATCAGAAAGTATTTAACAAAACTTACTTTGAATTGAATTCTTGCACCTAAAAGCATAGGTGCTATGTTGACTTAAAAGTATTCAAAATCAAATTCATTGATTTTGTAATTATATTAATCTTCAAGAATACTTAGAATGAAAATGGTTAGTTTTCTATTTTTATAGATTTGAGTGACTATGTGTACTATATAAAATGAATAATAATTTTAAAAAGACAAAGAAATGCAAGATATAATTTGTTCAATACATAATAGTTGCTTTTTGCTTAAGGTTTTACTTTATATATTATTGGCGCCTAAGGTCAACAACAATAATAAAAAAAATTAACCCATTCTTCATAGTTAATGCCATCTTTATAAGAGAAAATAAACGATTTTCCTGTAATAAATAATAATAATTTTTAAGAGATATACTTCACAAATTAAAAAAAAAGTGTTAGTGAATCATTCTGATGTAAATAAAATGTGAATCATATAATTTAAAATGTTTTATAGTAGTCAAAAAACTGTAAAAGATTTCTTAAATATTCAGAGATTTCTCAGTAATTATATTATAACATTTCTTGCTTAACGTAATAATGACTATTTGTTTTTATTTCTGTTTTGTAACATAGAATCTACTATTGATAAATTTTTGGGATTATGTATTATTCGGAATTTACATTAAATATTTGGGAAGTCATCATTTATGAGACCTCTTCTCTGAGACTTCTATTCGTCATCCCATATTTGTCACTGAAGTCAGGTCACCTCAGAGAGACATTACTATCTGCCACTTAGCCTGGAAATGCTGTCCTATTAAGGAGGTTGCATATGTCATGAACTGGGCCATTCATGAAAATAATATGTTGAGGAATTATACCAGTGCTTTAAAAATGTATTTTTAATTCAATTAATAAAAAAGGATTTATAGGGTAATATTATAAATAATGTACCCACCATATATCTGTGTGAAATGTCTTGCATTATATCTTCATTCTTACTAAAAGTATAAGCCATATTAGAGACATTTTTTTTTTTTTTTTTTTTCCTATGCCACATAGTCATTGGTCATTCCACCATCCGACATCTTTCTGCCCAATATAAGTTTGATTTTTTTATATAATAATTTACATATGTTTGATTCTTAATATCCATCAAAGCAGGACATTCATTTAGATGGTCTGCATCTATTTCCGCTTGTTCACATAATTTACACCCAGGATCCTCGGCCACGCCTATCTTGTGGAGATGACTTTGTAGATAGTCGTGACCAGTGGCCAGGCGGAAGCAGGCTACTGCATCTCTTCTTGGTAGGTCTGCTGGGAAGGGGTTTTCCACCAAACATCCATAACGTCTCCCACCTTGTCTTTGTGCATATTTACATTATATTATATTATCATATTGCATATTTATATTAGAGAAATGTAAAAATAATAATATTTTGGAATAAATATCAGTAATTCATTTTATTGACTGGATCAAGGCTAATATAACCAGAAAGTACGAAAAACATATTTTTTTTCCTATTTGAAGAAGAATAGTGCTTGAAATTTACTTTCTTAGGAAAGTGCTCCCTAGTTCTCCCTGTCCTATGATAAAATCATAATATTATATAAAAATAAAAACACCTTACATAAAACCTAGTTGGCGATTGCTAGAACTAGATAATGCATATAAAAATAATTGCCTTCAATTTTAATGCCAATCTGTTTCTTTCTTTATTGTTTTGAACATATAACAGCCTCTTACTATGTGTTCTATTGCTCTTTGAAATTCACAGTTTAGAGGTTCAAGTTCTCTTAATAAGTAAGAATGTAAAAAGTCCCGTACTTCTTTGTGGATCCAAGTGCTGGACAAGGGCGATTGAAGACCACTGAAAAGAAACTCCTTATTTTTCAAAGAACGTTTTGGTGGGAGTGGTAGCAGTGCAAGAACCAGGAGCTGTACAATGCTTTTGGAGAAGCTGATGTGAAAGCAACGAAGTTGAGGCGTTTAAGATAAGTTGGTCATATTTCCAGAATGGCAGATGAAGAAATGCCCAAATTATTGCTTCCACAGCTAATCTATGGAGCAAGAAGAAGAGGGAGACCAAGGCTGAGACGGTTGGATGGTGTGGTGGGAGACGCCTGCAACATGCTGAGAGTTAGAAACTGAATGGCGTTGGCGCAAGACCTGACTGCAGGAAAGGGTTAGAGGAGGCCAAGACCTGTAACTGGGTTGTAGTGCCGTGAAATCATAATAATAATATAAAAATTCACAATCCCTAATGCTTAATTTAACTTAACCTGCTGAAGGCAATTTCTTAGTTTTTAGATATAGTTTCTATGAGATTTCCTGTTTGGAACAGGGATCTTTATTATATTTTAAGGGGACCTTACACGGTCAATCGGACGTACGTAATAGATGTAATGTATCCTACAAATGTAGAGTACGGAATAGGAGCTGAGGTTAATCATAATAGAAAAGGTCAGACCATTAATATTCACAATAAGCGCCAAAATTACTTTCCCAACTTTATATTTTGTCCTTAATTTTTATTCGGGGTTTTCCCGGGCCAGAGCCTGAGAGCGGAGTATTAATGATAGGGTTAAGAGTCACTCCCTCCTCCCCCGGCATCGAGACGCGAACTCGTAATTATTATTATTAATTAACTCGTAATTATTATTATCACATTATATTTCATAAGGTTGCTGGGTAACGCCGCGGTGCTGTAGCCCGCTTGGACACTCCGTCCCCTTCCCGTTTTTCCAACTAGATTCTTCTTTAAATAAATTAAATTTAGTTTTTTTTTATTCTATTCTAACAGCACCAGGAAAAATTGGAGTCAATATCCTAAGCAAAATTTGACCTTAAAATGAAGAAATGTTCATAGTTTCCGACAGCAATATCCCACTATTGGGAAGGATATGGGTCCGTCACCTAATGATGAATTTAAAGAGCTTGACAAAATGATGAATTAAAAGTTATAGAATGAAAAATCTTAGGGCATAGGAAACTATAGCTTGTACATTGTAACATCATGATTACAGAAATGAATCACCACTCCAACTCAAGTTTAGAAGCACCATTTATTAGAATCTGGCTTTGGCAGGCTATCTTTCAATTTGTAACCAATCCATGGAATAAATTTCAACCTTCTCGCTTTGGTTGGATAAGTTGGGAACATGTAGATAATCCATTTTCCCCTACTCCAATTGGAATACATAACGGTGTTAAATTCTAATAAACAAGTAGTGAATGATTCTTAATGCAGATTCTACTTAGCAAAGCATTAAAGCATTTCAAATAAAAGAACCTGATCACCTATCGTTTTGTAAAACAGAATATGCAATCTGAAATATAATTTAAAATTAGTTTTTGCATATTTCCAATTAATCTTTTGTTTCTAGATATATTGACCAATCACCCTTTTATACGGCCGCAGTACATCCAATCCAGCCCGCAAATGTTTCTTTTATTACAATCTTAAAACTATTTTTAAAATTATAAAATTTAGTGAATTCTAACAGGAGGTTACTACAACATTTAATGCACGAAATGTTTCTCCTAGGAAGCTCATTTCCCAACTGAAATGTCACTTATAGAAAACGATTTTTTTTTTCATTACAAGCCTTGATCCGCGAGATTTAGAGAGGGTCTCAATATGGTCCACGAGACTTAACGAGGTCTCAGTCAAGTCCGTAGGTCAATATGTTTGGAGACCCTTGGTCTATAACGTATCGACCTGGTGTATTAATGTTGACATTTTTTCTCTGATTATTACACATGACACTGATTCTTTTTTCTAAAAGGAATCTAAAGTATCAATCAACTTTCTAAGTAAAAGTTAAGATCGATGACCTCTTTGGCGTTTCAACTGGAATAGTAAATACTTGGGTTTGTTTATTATTGTGTCGGTTGATAAAGAACTGTCAGGTATTACTAAAATTGTATTATTTTTTTTTTAATTTCGGAAAGAATCTTACCATAGCTCGTATTTAAAATGAATTGCAGACTATTTATGAAATAAACAAATAAATAAGATATGAAAAAGGATTCAAGCATTGCTCATGAAGGGGAAAGCAGCAAAAAGAGGAAAAGAAGTTCAAGTTCAGATTCCAATTCTGAAGAGCATTTGAAAAAGAAACATCATAAAAAAGTGAAGAAGAAGAAGGAACACACTCCATCTGGTAGTAACTCTGACTCAGATCACAGTAGAAAGAAGGCCAAAGAAAAGAAGAAACACAAGAAAAACAAAAAAGATAAAAAGGAAAAGAAAAAGAGGAAGAAATCCGACAAGGTTGGTCCAGATATTCCTGAAGAACTCATAGAAAAACGTAAGAAGATGGCACCAATGACTAAAGAAGAGTGGGAAAAGAAACAAAGTATAATTAAAAGAGTTTATGACTCAGAAACAGGTAGACACAGATTAATTAAAGGTAGTGGTGAAGTTTTGGAAGAAATTGTTTCTAAAGACATGCATAAGCAAATTAATAAGCAAGCAACTATTGGTGACGGAAACTTTTTCCAAGCAAAGCTATCAAATAAGTTTTAATGTACTTATACCAAAGGATTAGTAATATAAATGCATGTAAATATGTGGTAGTTATTGACTTCATAATTCTATTAGAATTTCATGTTTAATCATACTGATGAAGTTTGTTAACTGGTCTTTGTGTAGTTGAAGTACTTGTTAATGTTTAGTTCATTTTGAAATTAAATTAGAGTGATCTAATGGTTACTTGTTACCATTTAGCATGCTCAATGTGATGAGGAAAGTTCTATGATGTTTAATGTTCCTTGCCTAAGAAGCAGTAATGTAGTTATAATTTTTCAATGTTCTTAAGAATGAATGTGGAGATATTCCCCTCATAATTTAGTTTAGATGCATATTAATGTTTATACTTATTTAACGAGATAAATATATATGTGTGGAACATCCATAAGGTATTTTTTATTTCCCTAGTACAACTTTTAATTAAGTTATGTTTATTAAATAACCAAATTTATGTAACTGCAGAGTTTTACCGAAATGTTATTCACAGGATTTTAACGGTGGTGAAATAGTTGAGTATAGATAATTCGGTATATAGTAGTATTCGGGAAGTAAGGGGTTGCTGTCATAGTAAAGACCAAAAAATTAACTTTACATACACTACTTAGAGTGGACAATATTTTTCATACACTGACTGATAAGAATTTTATTAAAATTCCGACGATCCAATAAAAATAATTCATTTTGATAATGTTTTATTTCATGTATCAGTAGATATCTCATTAGTTAACACAAATAAATTGACTAATCAACAAAGTACATATATTATTAATACATTATAAATGACAATTATCACAATTTTTAAGCTGCAAACATTTTGGTACTGAATCGTACGAAACATTAGTGGTAACATTATTTTTTGTCAACATTTTTAAATTAATATTTTGAATGTAACCCTCTGTTTTAATACCATTTTAAGTTGCTTTGAATTAATTATACCCACTTTAAAATTAATTGGAATGGTATTTTCTTCCATTAATTTAGTTTTAAGATCTTTCACTGTGCTTATATTGTAATTCCTTTGATTGGAATCAAGATGAGCCCATAAATGTTTTATGGGATTTAAATCTGGGCTGAGAGGAGGAGTTTCAAGCACTTTTGGACATTTATACAACAATCATTTCTGTGTATGGAGACCATTATGGTTAGGGCCATTGTTATGATAAAAATTAAATGTTCGTTTAATACCCGTTTTTGTGGCTCTGGCACTTAAATTTTCTTTTAACATATAAATATATATTTAAATTTGTCCGTTAGTGTAGCAGTTAAATTTTTTAATTTAACCCAGTCTTCTGTCACAATTGATCTACCATTCAATCCACAGATATTAAATCTGTACTCATCTGCAAAAATAACATCATTCTAGTAATTTGTTGGTCTTTTGATAAACTCTTTGGCGAAAGCCAGCCTTTTTCTCTTATTTAAATGTATATAAGGTTTTTTTCTAATCATCCTGGCTTTAAATGCATATTTCTTTAATTCCTACGGATTGTTTCAGGCTTGAATTTTCCTCCCATTTGTTCATTTATTTCTTGTGCAACTTTTGTTGCTGATTTTTTGGCGTTTACTTAAATTTTTATTCTTCAATTTTTTTTTTTTTTTATGATTATTCATTCTTCTCTTTTGTAAATATTTTAGTGTGGCCTGATCGATTTTTGTTCAACCAATCCTTCTTTTTTATTTTGATTAATTAAACCCTGTACTGTGGAAGATCATAATCCGGTTTCTACAATAATTTTCCTGAATGTATGTCCCGGTTCTCTGAAAACAAAAACTTTCAATCTCTTCCAATGTGGTATTCCTTTTTGTTCTAGACACTAGAGTAAAAGCACCACTAGCTCACAGTGTACCAATACCTGACAGCCTCCTCGAAAAATGGGAATAATAAAATTTTAGGATCTCCTATTGTCTATTTCATATATTTTCTCATGGTATATTTGTCTGCTTTGCTTTAGTCTCAGCAGAAATCGACACTGAAATAATAAGTGGCAAATTAGGAAGGTCCCTCACGGTCCACTTAGTGCCCCAGGAACAACCATCTGTCGGTAAGAGCACCATACCTTAGGTTTGTCTTTTTCTCTTTAACTATTCTGATATATCCCAAAGTGTTTGTGTGATTTTTTAAAATTATGTTTTATCTATTTTTAGCTTATCATCATGAAGAAATTGGATGTTTAATGGGTGTCCTAGAACCTTATAATGGGGATTTTTGCCAGTAGTGGACAGGCCCCTGCTCTCATAAATTCACAGAGATATACTGAATATAAAGGGTCTTAAAAATGTGACCATTCACTGCTGTCTCGTTAAAAGAAAAAATGCTAATAATTTGGATTAAATTTAAAGGAAAAATAGGTTCTCCTATTGCATATATTGATAAATTTAAGTCGGGAAACACAAGAAGTTTGTTTTTTAATTAGTGAAAGGTAATTTTTGTTAATGTTAAAACGGAGAATATGAAACTTTACTTAATTACATCCTCGTTCTCATCCCTTACAGTTATAGAAAAATTCCAAATCAAACAGTGTCAGATACTGGTACAACAAAACTATTCTCTTAATTTTCAATTTTAAAAATTTAGATGAATGTTTCATGAATTTCAAATACGTCTAGGTAAGATGAGCAATAGTTCTATAAGGTGAATCCAAGAAAATATAATGACACTAATATTTAAGGTTTTGCATGTAAAAGTTCAAATAAAGTTCCTTAAGGATGCCAGCAACTGGTGCATTTACCATATAATAGAATTAACCACACAACGATCATATTGGCACAGGGAGGATTAAGAATCGATAAGTATATAAACAATAAACACTAGTTTATTTAAACTGAAATGGTCTTGTATGAAAACTTTTGATGGCATGTAATCATAAATTAATTTATGTGTAATTAAAAAACAGTGTTAGAATCTTCTAAAATTTATCTTCCACAGTACAAATAATCTATGAGTCTATATGAATTAATTTTTATATAACAGCAAAAAAAAAAAATGTAAAAACGGAGTTAAACTCCATTTGATGTTCCAAATAATGTTACTAAAAAAAAATTTTGTTGTCCACTGTATATATTTTAATTTATCGTACACAATTTTTTATTAACTTCTTAGAATTTATTTATTGGCAGATACCAAAGAGTTTTTGTTTTCATATCTTTTTATAATATTTTTTTGTTTGGTTGTTATCTTGCCTTTCCACAGCTTCCAAAGCGTTGGCACAAAATAAACTATGATATAGTTATTAGTTGATATGCATTCGGTTCAGTTGCCTATGGGTTTGACATATACTGAGCTCATCCGAATAATTACTCATAATTTATTCTGCTATAAACTGGACTGTCATTTTGCAATTCAATAAATTGTGGCCTTGGGTTGTTTGGCATATATATATATAATGTCATCATTGAGAAGCTCTAGTGAACTGATGTTTTTCTTTTACTCATTGTGAGATATTTTTGTTTAAAAATCTTTTTTAACTATGTGTTTAGTATAGTATGTTTAGTTATGTCTATTCCTTTTAGTAAACTGTAGCTCTGACTGTTGTTATATTAACTGCCTGTTGACTTCATAACGATCTTAAAATCCACAAAAATCATCCCATGGTTGATAGGCTAAGCAAAATAAGTATATTATTTCTGGATAACCATAATACCTAAAAATCAGATTACTTAGATGTTCTTTAATTTTTGAAAATTACATATAAAAAATACTGACTTCGTATTGTTTTCAATATTCTTCCAAGTTATGTCAACTCGTCATCTTCTCTCATGAGACTTTAATATGAAAAGTTAACTATTATATTTAAATGAATTCCGATATGACGGAGTTTTATTTTAAATTTTTTTTCTGTTATTTCATAACTTGAACATTTACTCATTATTATTTTTCAATTAAATGTTTTATCTTTGTTTTTTGAAGCGATTAATTTTTTCCAAGAAGTAAAAATAAAAATGATAATTGTGCAGTGCATTCTTTGCTACTCAAACAAAGAAAATATAAGAATTATATCTGTTATTTCTCATTGAGCCCATTTTTTAGTTCAGAATTTACATAAATCAATTTAAGGTTAAGCTACTACAATAAATTTGTAACTTCATTACAAACAAGTTCATAAGAACATATCTCAAAAACCTATGAAGGATCTTAAGTTTAGTTTTTGTTAGGAAGTACTGTTTCTTAGTCAACGTCCAAGGAGGTAATTTGGCCAAATTCATTTCCAATGCCAGGTTTTTCCTTTAATTAATTGTTTGATTAAGATTACCAACTTTATAGAGGCGGGGTGTGCTTCACAAGGACTTCCCGATCCTCGATCCTCGAACATTTTGATCTTTGGCTGATGTAACTATTAAATAATTACCTACCTCAACCAGTTTTGAAGGCAGAACCTGGAGCATAGGAGCACAGTGTCTTACCCAGTGAGCTATTTTACTCCTTAACTTTTATATTAAAAACCTTTTTAAAAAAGTTTCAAGCCCTCTGATTCTTAATCAGCCCTCCCATCTTCGCAAGATTCAATCTCCACACACCTGTTATTGATAGAGTTTTTGCTTTATTTGAAAATATTATAAGAGGTCTTGTTTTTATAATTACCTGGTCCTTGAGAAACTGCCAGAATTGGAAAGGCAAATTTTTTATTTTATTTTATATTAATCCATATTTTTCTTAGTGGGTAATAATTGGCCTACAGCCTCTACTGTCTTTTTCAGTAAATATGAGTGTATTTTACAATAGTAAGTCTCATGGAACAAATTAATAATGTAATTAAAACCGATATATGGTATTATTATATGGAATAAAATTATCTGGCTAAGTTTTATCTTATTCAAGGACAGCTGCTATATTACAGTTTATAATAGTGTTGAGTTTTTAATAATAAATGCTTTCATACTTCTTTTCTCATATTTTCTTGCTTGACCTTATGGGTTAACTACCCACTATTATTATTATTTTGCTTCCTAATAAGTTATACATTTTTCAGTATTGTTCTGTTAATATAAAGTTGGAGATGGGGTCCATTTATTATTAAAGGAATTAGAACTAGTAAAGTTATTTTTTTAGTATTTTCTTCTTTCTAAAAATTAGACATTCCTGAATTTAAAATCATGTTTAACATCGTGATAAACTTGCATTTTTTCAGATATGGAGTTTTTTAATAATATCTGCCTGTTTCTGAATCAAATCTATGCTTCCTAATTGACAAAATTTGAAAATTATTTTAGAATTAAAATAATAATTATTTTAGATTTTATAGTAATTTTAGGTCTAAGATTAAATGAACCTTTTAGTTGACAGAATGACTTTACCTATGCAAAGCCTGGAACATTTCTTTACATTATCGTAATGAGTTTGTCTATTTTGTTGACTATTTGTATAATAAAGAGATTTGTTAAAAATTC